CCTGGAGGTACTTCGGCATAAAGTCTGTTTTTAGCTGCTATCTGTGGTAAGGTGGAATTTTTTATGTATCGTAAAAATCGTTTAGAGTACCCACGCTGTTTCAGTTTTGAGAAAACAATCGTACATAGGCTTGGTTGAAATCAGAAGATCCTGTGCAAATTTGGTGAAATCGTAAAACTTGTTTCTGCTATGGAATCTATGGTATCGAGAAAGTCTATGCTTTTGTCACTCAAGTTTGCGGTTAGTTTGATGGAAGGATGGTGGTTGTTGAGAATTTCAAAGAATTCCCAAAACTGCTCGATAGATTAAGTCCCAACTATAAAAACGTCATCCAAAAAGCGTCCGTAAAAAAGTGGATCAAATTGACAGTTGGGCAATACCTCGAGTCCCCACTGCCATTAAAAGGTTTGCTTACGAAGGGGCCAATCGTTTGCCCAAAGCTGTCTCTGAAGTTTGTAAATATGTTTTACCATTAAATGTGAAATCGTTTCGCTAAAACAAATCTCTAAAAGCTGTAGAATTGCATCGCCGGGTCTGTTTGGATCTGGGTTTCTATTAAAAGCTTGACGAACAGCAATAAAAGTTTTTTTATTCGAAAATATTGATGTCGCATTTTCTTTCATAAAAAATCGAAAAAGAAAGTTAACTTGAAAGATTTGTCTTTCTGATTGAGGACATATTATAGATTCATTTTTAATTGATGTTTTGTGTCTTACACTTATTTCGACTTTTGTTTTGTTGGCATACCGAATTGCACCCCTTTATTGAGAATGGGCGTTTTTAAGGTGTGACAACTCCAGCCAACTGCCTTTGGTAGGATATGTGTTATGGATGTGAAGCATAGATTTTTAAGTCAATGAAAAGAACTGTCTGTATCACTTAATAGTTTCAAATTGATTAAAGTTGTATTGTTTAACTCATTTGTTATTTTCTGTTACCAGCGCTGTATGCTTTATGTATCTCTTGCACGTAACATCGTTTATATTGATGAGATATTGGACAAGTTGCCTTGACTTAGTCAAGTTTGAATTTGATATTGCCCAATACAGAAGAAGTTATTTGTTGGTCTTTAAGATTAACTTTTGAAATAAATCGCCTTTAACCTTGAACGATTATATTTCGCCAGGCAAGCAACGCAGAGGCGGGGCTTAAAGTTATATATTATGATTTGCATCTTTTAAGTAACCAGGAAGGTTAATGAGGAAAATGCTATCGACAATCTGATATGCAATTTTTATTTTTAACTGAATATTAAATGAATAATAGCAAACAAGGTGAATGACGAAGTTTGCTCCCACAATACATGGCGTTTAAACGAAATAACTAATTCGTTTAAACGAAATATTTATTTCGTTTAAACGAAATAAAAAGATGGGTTAATTATTTCGTTTAAACGAAAAAGACGAAAAAATTAATTCGTTTAAACGAAATAATAATTCGTTTAAACGTTTAAACGTTTTATATAATAAAAAATAATAAAAAGTGTTGAAAATTGCGCTTAAGGGGCTCCGTAAAAATGGTATGTTATAACAATAATTTTATCAATATATTCCTGAACATTCAATTAACATTTTGCGTTTCTCAGCAAATGAACGTAAAAATATCTATACTTAAATAAATAAGTAAAGTAAAGTAATTTAATATTATTTGATATTTGTATTGCAGTGCGTTCTATCGAACGCACTGCTTTGTTTTCGTAATTTCAAAAAAATATGATTTTGTGTCGCCTAATCTGAAGAATCTGTAATAGTTGCAGCAACATTTGCAATACCTTACATCTACATTTGTGGTCTATTACTGAATGAATATAAATACATGTTTGCATAACGTATAGTGGCACAGTGCAAAATGTGCAAGAGTAGATAATTTGCTCTAGAAGGTGCATTTTTTGAGCGAATTTTCTCGGGTTTTCAATTTTGGGATCTCGCAAGAATATCCAATAGGTTAGCAGTTAAAAAGTTTCCAATTTTGAAAATTCGTTGGACACATTTTTGAGCCGAATTTTTCAAATTTTGACCAAATTTTCGATTTTCTCTGATATTTGTCCGATTGCTTTGAAACCTTTGGTGATAAATCAGATCGCAACATAAAAACAAATTGGCATAATCAAAAACTTTGCATCACTTCTGGTTTCCACAAAATCGATGTGCAAACTTCCGGTTGGCCCACTTCATGTATTATGAATGAATGTAACTGAAACGCACACTAAAAGGTAGATATCGTTATGAAATTGATATTTTGGCCTCCATTTGCATTTGAAATACGTCAAAATTTTATTGAGGGATAACGGCATTTATTCCGGAATTTTATTCTCGGAAGTATTAGAGCAGCCACCATCTTGAAATGACAATATTCTCTATAAAAGTACTTTTTGGAATCCGGGTTTAATCGGATTTGCATTATTAAAAGGTTTATGTTATCAGTAAACGATTCCTAACAATCGTGTGGGAGCCGATTTTTTAATTTGAAATTTGCTTTTTAGTTATTTTTGATTTTTTTTCAATATCGACCAAAACTTTCAAGGCTCATATCTCGTGACCTTGAACTTGGGTGACTTTGTCACCAGAGCAAAAGTTGTTGCTCTTGGAGAGATCTATCAAAAATACCACCATTTCTCTTGTCCAACGTTAACTTCCGGTTCTACAGCCATTTGAAAATCACAATTTTTAACTTTGAAGAGCTCTATCACATGACCTCATTAACATACGACAAAATTTCTGATATACATGTATTCTTAAAGTGCACGATCTCGTCTTTTTGGTGATATATCACATTTGGTATTTTAATCAAATAGCGCTTTTTAAAGTTGGAAATTTTTTTACTGACTTCTATGGATAAAGCAACATTTTGAGGTTGGGCGTGGCATATCCGGGTTAGATTAACATTTAGCTAAAGCAAAAGTTGTTGCCCTTGGCGAGATCTATCCACGGATGTTCCCATTTTTGTTGTGCATCGTTAACCTGTGGTTCTTCAGCCATTTGAAAATTCGACTTTATACTACCGAATAATAACACCTTTTAGTACCGAATAGTATCAAATTCACTACCAAACGTTGATCAATTTTTTACTACTGAATGTTCACAAGCTTTTATTTCAGTAAGAAATCTCACTGTGACTTTAAAATGCAACGTTTCACCGATATATCACCCAGAATACGCACTGAATGACACCGTCCATGGTTCTAGTTTTAACTTTTTCGGTGTTTAGTTACTTTATTTTTGTCGTCTATGTTGAATATTTAAGCTTTTGGTTGTAGTTGATTATGATTCCCCGGAGGGAATAAAGTTTGTTATAATAGGAGTCCGAAAAGTAAGACGTAATGTGTTTATAACTAAAACATTCATTTGTTATTATTTTATATAGATTATCAAGTTTTTTATAATTTCTCTAGGCAATTTTAAAAGAGAAGAACAGACAAGGAGTTAAAGGGACACTATCCAAACGTTTTCAAATATATCTAAAATATGCTACATGTATCTATATACTTGATCAAAATACACTTATTAAACTTGTTTAGGCGTTTCTTTTGCTTAAATCCGTACAGATTTGAGTCTTGAAAATGTCTAAATAGTCTTCAGAAGTACTAGAAATGTACGAAAACCGCACAATTCCTTCAAAACATATCAAACTAAGAGTTTTACTCATTATTTCTACATATCAGAGAGTATCTTAAAATTACGAGTTACCATTCAAACACGGATTATTCTGGACATACATTGATTTGAAAGCTCAAATTTCGATGGTGTGCTGTAAACACTATTACTGATTGACTTTGCTAAAAATTCCCGTTTCTGGAACTAAAGTATGATTGGTCAGAGAGAATGACCCACCTGTCCCTTTAAGTTACAACTTTTTAATACGCCCACATGAAATGAGGGGCGTATATTGTCGTCACCCATGTCCGTCCGCCCGAGCGAAAATCTGAAAAATCGAAAAATATTATTGCCCTTGTTCTTAAAAACGCGTTCAAGTTTTAGCCTGTAAACACTCTAGAAGACCCAATTCTTGACAGATTTTGATGAAACTTGGTAATATTATTCAGTATCGCCTCGAAAAGTTCAAAAGAAGTGTATGTCTGAAGGTTGCATATTTCATACTGGTAATTGTTACTGTACTTCCAAATATTTTTTATTTAAAATCAAAGCTGCCTGGCAAGCGGTCTTCAGATAGCTTAAGAGACACATATTTCTCTAGATTGTGGTGCATAGTTTCCATATATTGAAAATATATTTAGACCTACGAAATAATCATAATAATCGAAATAAGATTATATGAATATATATATTGAATTGCTTCAAGGCAAAGGACAATCTTTTGACAAACTTTCAGTATAGTAAACTATTGTGATAATCATACTTGTACATGATGGCTAGAGTTAAATATATTTCTTCCCTTTTCAACAAAGTCATTTTTCAAATGGTGGGTAATGACTTCAATTTGGTAGCTTTATTGAATCGAACATAAGGAGGTTTTCTGACATAAAGATGTATGTGTACCGAGGACACCGATAGCATCAATTTGCACCATTCTAATTTTCAATCAAACGTCTGTGGTTCCACTAAAACTAAATGTTTTATGACGTCAATAATCTCCATATACTCTGTATCATATTTAACATAGATGAAACTTGATATAAGCTAAATGTTATCCATATTGTTTTATATTTTCAGGTAAATCGGTGGGTAATCAGAAATATGCACCGAAAGTTCAAAATCGGATTATTTGTCATTAGTGTATGTATTTTTCTGGTGTATATGACTATTGTTCATAAACCCGTGTACGTTTCGTCTTCATATCGGTTACCCAGTATAAGGTTAAATGATAAAACGACAGCTCTTCCTTCTAAACAATTTTCCACATCGAAATCAGTGATGAAAGAATATACCAAGATCTACAACAAACCTGACGATGTGCCAGAATTTTTCATCCCTCGCCCTGTTATAGTTAATCCAATGCATTTTGTTGAAGTTACTAAACCTAATACAGTTCAATGTGATTTTAAGAATCCGCCATTATTAACAGTCTTGGTTTTAACAATACATGCCCATGTGGCGTATCGTGATGCTATTCGCCAGACTTGGGGCTCGGAAGCCTCTAAAGTGGTGTTTATAGTTGGATTGAATAAAAACGAATCTGTAAATGCTAATTTGATAAAGGAAGCTGAAAGAACTAAAGATATAGTGATGTTTGATTTCATCGATTCCTATTTTAATTTAACTTACAAAGTGTTGATGGGCTTCAAATGGATAAAAGAGCATTGTAATAACACCAAATATGTCATGAAAGCTGACGAGGATACATTTGTTGACATTAATGTTATTTATAAAAAATTGCAGTCTCCTCTATGGAATGACAAGATCATTGGACCATATTTCACAAACCAACTTTGTCAACGGAAAGGGAAATATAAAGTGCTCATATCGTCGTACCCGTTTCATGTCTACGCGCCCCATGTTAAAGGCAATATGTATCTGATGCCTAAAGACGTTGCAATGAAACTGCTAAATGTATCATATTACATGCCGTATTGTAATATGGAAGACGCTTATATTACTGGAACATTAGCCAAAGCGGTTGATGGGATCAAGTTCAAGGACATTCTAGGAACTTTCTATTATCCTTATGGGGCATATAAAGGATGTCGGTTTATCAAAACTCAAAAAATTGTATCTCAAGGCTTTAATCCCGCCGATTTTAAAGAACTGTGGAATTTAATGAAAAATGGTACCAAATGTTATCAGCCATGATATATTAATAATTCTACAATATCCTGGGGTATATAATAAACCATTTATCGTTTGTCAAAGGGATTGTAAAGAGGTTGTCTAATTTTTGTATTTGTATCGGGGACACTGATAACATCAATTCGCACCAATCCAAATTTCAATCAAACGTCTCTGCTTCCTGCAATTCCTCTAAAACTAAGTGTTTGATGACTTCACTAATAGCGAAGGGCCGTTTGTGATTAATCGTATTTTGCGATCAGTGTCCCCGATACACATACAAATTTTTAGAAAACCTCTTTACAATCCCCTTAATTTAATTTTTACATAGATGAGACTTCTAGCCTCAAATTTGTTCAATTTCTGTCGTTAATTTGAAGAGAAGAGCTCAGACAAGTGCGTTTATCTTAAAATGATTATGTAGAAATGAATGCCTTTGAGGCAAATGAAAATCTAATAAACTAGTAAGTTTGTATATTCGTGAAATAAGAGACAATCTTTCATTAGTAAACTATTGTGATCATCATACACTTGTACATATTGCTAGTATTAAAATTGCTTTTTACTTATAAAATTTGTCCCCTTCCGATTTTGCCACTTATTCCCAATTCGCCTCTTTCCCAGTTCGCTCCTTTTTGGCAATTTGCACCTTTCACATTTTTGATTGCATTTACATTACAACAGTTTAAAACAGTATAAGGGTAAGTTGAATATAGACAATGATTTGCAATTAAATTGATATATGAAAAGGGGCGAATTGGGAAAGTGGCAAAATAGCAAGGGGCAATTTGGGGAGGGACGAAATGGGGGAGGGGCGAAGTGGAAAGACGCCATTTATACAATAGCTATAGTATTATTGTAACACAGCAACTTCCAGCTTTGTCTTATTTGAAAGCCTAAGTTTTGTTTGTTTGCATTTTTTGTATATTTTTCTAATAATAAAAATAAATGAGAAAACCCAAGAACTCGTGTGTACGTCGTTTTAAAGTAATGGAATCATTCGTGTGTTAGAATTAGATCGGAGATTTTCAACCACAGGGACGTAGGACATTTGCATTTTTGTTTAAGAATATTTAATGTGTTACAAGCTATGAAAACACGACTATCTTACTACAATATATATACAACATGTCATAAGACTACACTAAATTGAATATTATGGTCACTTTTTTGCACTCCATACTACCCAATCCCAGTTTCACTTTCGACATCTGGAGACAAAATAAGATTTGGGGACACATACAAAAATAGGTTGGAAAGAGGGGAGTTTGGGTATATGCCAATGGTTTGTACTCGCATTTATACCCCCACTTTAATTTCATAAATATAATTTGTATACGTTTTGCGCCCCAAAACTATGTGTTAGAATGCATCAAGTTTATTCAATATTCAAAATTCAAAAAATGCTCATAGAAGCACTTGTAAGGTCTGCCCCCTATTTGTACCCCCAGTCTCGAGAGGCTCGCGCCACCAGTGATTTCTTCCACCTATTACTCATAGTAGACTGGCCTGGTCTGGCACTGACCTTATCCTTAACTCTTTGTAATAAAGATATCATCAATAGGACATACTTGCTGATACAATTTGATTCAGATATTGACTTGCTGATAAAATTTGTCTAAAAATATTGACTTGTTTGAAGCAAAAATTTGAAAGAATTTTTTTTTTTACTTATCTCTTGTGTTGTGTACCATGATTGAATTCACACATTAAGTGTTATAGAAATTATGATATTACATAATGCACTATAATATAATATAATTTGATTAACTCTGATCTTAATTAGTACAGATTAGTAGATATTGAATAATAATGTAATTATTACGATATTAAGGGTGTTTAAGGATGGTGTGGTGGCTGATTAAGGAAGCAGGAAAGACTGTATAAAAGTCGGATAGAATCAATGTCAATCATAAACTTCTGTTGATCTTCCACTGCATCTATCTCAACTACTCAACTACTCGACAAGGTAAGTGATTATTTATTTATATTAATCCTTTCGGGATCCTTGGTAGATTGAATTACCTCCTTATAAACCTTTCCATTACCTCTTTCTCTATAAACCGTTCAATTACCTCTTTCTCTATAAACCGTTCCATTACCTCTTTCTCTATAAACCGTTCAATTACCCTTTTCTCTATAAACCCTTTCATTACCTCTTTCTCTATAAACCCTTCCATTACCTCTTTCTCTATAAACCCTTCCATTACCCTTTTCTCTATAAACCGTTCGGGTTTATGCTAGGCTACATAGGGCCTTATTGCCCCTTAAAAATGTCACAATTACCACCAAGTTGAAAACCCCTGATATATATCGATGCAGTTTTCTAAATACCTAAAGTGGAAGTATTCACCGATTTACATGATGATAGGGGTTGAAAGTCAACACAGGGGCGACTCTCAGGAGTATTGTACCTTATTTCCTACCAGACCTAAATCCAACTCACTACTGACTGAGCTACTCCACTACCACTTGGTTTTACTCCCGATTCTTACGACGAGTTTTTTTTGTACGGAACTTTATTTTTAATATATTAATTAGTCTTAAGCAAAATTAAAACTGAACGTTATAATGAAAGATATTTGAAAATCAGACTTTAGTTTTAAAACAATTAAGCAAAAATGAATGATATTTTTTAATTTATTTATTTTCTACGTCGCACATATTAAACTGTAATAATTTACCATAGCTGTTTTTTCTAAACAGATGATGAAACTTATCGTTACCGTTGCCTGTTTGATGGCTGTAGCTAATGCCGGTATGTATGGTGGACTAGGCATGGGCATGTACGGTATGGGCATGATGAACCCCATGATGTACGGTATGGGCATGATGAACCCAATGATGTACGGTCTGGGGATGGGTATGATGAACCCAATGATGTACGGTATGGGCATGGGCATGATGAACCCAATGATGTATGGAGGCATGTATGGTGGCCTAGGATTAATGGGCGGCATGGGTGGCATGGGAATGTCTCCATACGGTATGGGATTTGGGGGAGCTGGATTCCCAGCTGTCGGAGGAGCTGACCCTAACCAAGGTACCAACACAGGTATGTACTGAATTATTTCTACGTAAGATTCTTCCTGACTTTAGATCATAATAACTGTTAAACATAATATCAGTTCGTCACTGAGGTTTCGGTGATCAAATATTACTTAATCTGTGGAGCTTTAAAATCTCTTGACAGTAGCCTACTTTACAAGCTATACGAAAGAACAGTGACCATAGTCCATAATTAAATATTTAGAGGAATTAAGCATGTTCTTGCTGGCCACAAGAGGCTTGATAAGTACCCTACTTTACTAGCTATACGAAAGAACAAAGACCATAATGCATAATTAAATATTTAGAGGAATTAAGCATGTTCTTGCTGGCCACAGGCGGCTTGATAAGAAACTGTCATATTGATCTATCAATATACCACAATTTCTTATTTTATATAACGTGACACGCTTTGATTGGTTAAAAATACTCCCTTTGGGACGGACCTTTAAAGTTAGATTACCATGAAGATTAAAAATATCAAACATCGAAAAAGATACGAAATTTAATTAAATTTAATTAGATTAGGTGATTCCCAACTATCCTACAATATGAATTATATTAACCGTGGTATTTCTATATCGCTCAACAATCGATGTATTGAGCACTATTTTAACAGTGAAAATATTTTGTGATGGTAATATGAATTATATATTTTCAGGATCATTCCAGCAGTTTTAAAATGAAGTAGAATTCGCTAAATTCCATTTGCAAGAATTGGTTGTTAAATACAATACATTGATATATAATGGTTATTGACTAGATTAAAATACTTTCAAAATAAACCATGGTTTATCGTTTTAATTGAATCAGCTGTTGTCAGAGTTGCCTCCCAGTAGCTTGACTTTGTTGTCTGTAGTATATTCACAAAAACTAGAGTTGCTTCCCTTCAAAGGAACCAAGAGTTTTATTGTTGTCTGCAGCATATATATATTGGCTAGATTGGTCTCCCATTATGATCTTTGCACTGATGCTTTCAAACTGAAATCTACTTCATTCTGCCTCAAAAATCAAAATGAAATGATGTTTACATCAAGTAAGGGAAAATCTATAACTGAATTTCTCAATCTTCAGGATATGATACACGAACAATCTGTAACTTATAGCCCAGCGTTTTAGAAAATCGCCAAGAAGGTGTAGACCGTAAAACGTCCGCGTACGATGTCCAGAAGACATTTTGAGAAATTAAGTTATAGCATCCCTCGATAATTGGAAATCGTAAAAGAGTTGGCTAATGATACTGTCCTGAAAAAATGTCATTCATTACACACTGTGTGGCGTTGCACGCCCTCATTAGCTCAGGTGCATAAAGCAGGACGTATCACTCCATTTCATTTCCTGTTGGCCATAAGAACAGGGAGTGTGATTTATAGAATCTCGGATACATGGCATCTGTTAAAACAAATTGAAGAGAGTGGATGACCCTTAGTTTGATAATTGATTACCAAGATGGCTCGGGGGCTGTTTGTTTGTGACATATAACTCGGTTGGTTAAATACTAAACACGGATTACCAGACCGGGTCAATAGTTGTCCGGTAATGGCGAGTGTTTAAATTAGTATCCTGTGTTATTTAACACTCAATGGTCACTGTGTTGAATTATTGATGGTCATTTATAGAACTGGGCAGCTCAAGCCTAGTTCACACGATGTATCTTGAAGTTTACTATACAGACTATCAAACCCTACGAAGCTCGTAGTAATATTATACCTACAAATGCGTTCTAGTTGATGTATCATTTGTAACAGTATGCCAAGTTCGAGAGTTTGAAGCCGAATCTGTTACCATGATCACCCAAGTGAAGGCTCGTCGACCAGTACCATGGTAGATGGGCTAATAATGTCAGGTAGGTTGGAAGCATAAGTGGCGAGGGTAATAGGTACTTAAATGATACTTGCTATTAGTTCTGCATTGTGTTTCCGGTGCCCCTAGGTAGTGAGTGTGGGAATTCAGCACACCATTGGTTTTATGCGCAATAAAACTACACGTATATCTATTTGCAACCCACAACCGTCAAGTTATATGAAAAATTCAAATTCCTTCAAAATTGATAGGTAGGTAGGTAGGTTGGTAGGTAGATGACAAGTTAACGTTTGTTCAAAATTGATATCAGGATGTCATCCTTTAACCCAGTGTGAACTGTTCTTCTAAGAACCTATTAAACGTCTCTTGAAGAGCTATCGAGTTATTCAAGATCTTACACTTGTCTGCCCACTACATTGTCCACCATTTTGTGTATAATCCAGCGTGTATATTGTCGGTATTCTCCAAGTATTGTTGACATATTAAATGACACCTTAATTGATCCAACACTTCAATTCTCTATACGTTAATAAGAAACGTCAACATGATGACGACCAATAGGAATTAATAATCAGAGTTAAGCCCCTTGTTCAAGCCTCCACTAAAGGAGGTACAATTATGACTCTTCACGTCTGTTGTTTATTTGATATGTCGTCTGTCGGAATATTTCGGCAAACAGGCGACATTCTTCTACATTTGAAATGTTTTAAATGAATGAAAGTGAATTAATTTCATTCTATTAGTGTAATACTGAAATCGATCCACAAAAGCAGCCTTTTACGATCTAGGTTACTGGTGTAAGAAGATTCATTCAATCACTTGGCCCTGATACCTTTTTTGAGCTAGAATACAACATAGTCTCTAATGATTTGGTGTTGATTTTGGTTCTTTCAAAGATCTATTAGCATCGGAAATATAGAAAGGAAACTCAAATATTTACATCGCAAGAAAACCAAATCCGTTGATCCTCGCGGACCGGAAGACTCGGGAAAAGAAAAAAAATGGCCATGTGCATTCGCATTTATATAAGGTGCAAAACAATAGATGCTGGCCGACTGTTTTTTGCTTTTGTGCATTGCGAGGTCACTGGAAGATCTACATTTTATCCGAAAATGTATTATTATTTATTGGCCAATAAGACACAAAACATTTTCTGATTTAGGTCAAGCAAACTAGAGGGTTTACATACTAGTATTTTTTGTCAGGCATTGCCGTAGCAGGCAGCCCTACATCGATGTAGATTACGCAATGCACGCTGATGCTAGGCTATGTATATTTCATTACAACAAAACATGTGTAGACGTATTATTATCTAAGTCAATAATAAGTGATTTATATAAAGTATATAATCCATACAGGATTAAGTGAACAAGACATTTTAAATCTATCGTGTCTTAAACATGAATATTATATTACGACAATATTAAACAGTTCTCCTCTTTGATGTTTTTAATACATTCGGTACACACACAACTTTCCCCTGTCGGTACAAATCTTGGTTTAGCCTCCAAGAAGGTACATAAAGAAAAATGCAGTGCTGTGCTGTGCTGTGCTGTGCTGTGCTGTGCTGTGCTGTGCTGTGTGCTGTGTGCTGTGTGCTGTGTGCTGTGTGCTGTGCTCGGTCTGAATTTACTATGCTATGCTTTTCTATGCTTCCTTTCATGTTTGCTTGATTATTTGCCTATTTGTTTGCAAGACAAACTGCTAGAGGATAGATCCGACTGTTTGCGGAAACTACATACACTTATCTGTTCTAATTATTTACAGATTTTCTGGTGGTTGAGGGCTATCATGTAAAACAAAATGTCGTTGCGATGGATTCGATATGCAATCTTTTCGATGACCCAAACCAGTAGAGTTGGTTTTATCCTAATAGCCGGGTAAATACACTGGAGCCTTCATGAATATACAACGAGTCATTCGAGAAGATGAACAAGATAGACTAAAAACTTTTTATTGTGCGGGTTAAGAGTTTTGTCTACTATCAGAAGTATATTTAATGATGATATTTACCTTCTAATATGACCCCTTTTATTCAAATTACATGTTGTAAGGGTTTACGGGATTAAACCGTTTACTGTTTTGAGACTCAGGGAACTTGAGAAACGTGGTTACTTTGATATATCATGTTTGACTTTTAACTGTTATCTACGTATCCTTAGCTCATTTTTTTCTATTTTACTAGTAGAGAATTTCAAACTGTTGCGTTCAGGCGTACACATGTAGTGGTAAACCGCATGGCGTCTATGTAACGCCTTCAAGGAAACCTATTTTCTACATTTATGATGTAGGTCAGAGGCAAGGTGGTTTAATAGACTAGTATAGCTCCTTGGATGGTACGGCTAGTTGTTGGGACGGGCAGCAAACAGAGGCATTTTGTGCTACTGGTGTGGTACCTGCGATGGTATGAAATCGGACAAGAGTATGAGTTTGAAATTAACAACATTTCAATAAACGGTTTTTGAGTTATTCCCCTTAAATGGTGGCTTTGTATGGACAAAATACCAACTACATTATCTAAATTTTCTTGTATATTTCTTGCACATTTGTATATACAAAACATAATACACAAATATAATAAATATAGAAACAAAGTACATCTCTTTATACAAAAAATTCATGTATAGCACTATATTAAACGATGGGCGACAACTATATCAGCTATTACAGAAAAAATAACAATTTGAACTCAGTAGAATGCTCCGTTTGTAATAACACACAAGTTTCAAGATCTATTAGTGTAGACTAGTGTGGAATGGTTGTTGCATAAAATTATCAAGATACTACTGCAGTTTAGTTTGAACTTTTTGTACATAACAATGTATATGCATACCGGAAGAATTTATTAAAGTGCCGAAGAGGCGTCTTATAAATCAAAAGCACAGTCTTGTTCTTGCTCACAGAATACACTTGATTGAATGGTAGATAATGAGTGATTTGACACTATTATCGATTTTTATCTTTGCAACGGGGATGCTCTTCTGTTCATCGAAATTGAGGAGACATTACGATCAAAATTACCATGCTTCAAGTGCCACCACACAATAAATAGACAAGTGTATTATTGTCGAAACGTTATCTAGGCCCTTACAAAGGGGTTTATTAATCATATATTATTATACTGTACAGCTGTAGATAGCAATATATATTTTGAATAACGGTACTGAGTATAATTGCTAAGTAGATCTCCAAATTCTCAATACAAAATTTAAGTTAAGTAGGACTTTGGTCAATAGCTAATATCTTTTCAGGGAAATTTTTTCACCGCGTTTCCGGTGGGATCTGCGCCTGCGACTAAGAAACTGTTGCAATCCGAACAAGTAACAGTTCAGTAGACTGATAAGTAAATTTGTCCGTGACAGAAACACTAATTCAAGAAACATCGATTTCTTCGTCGGAATCCTCTTCAGATTGCTGTAATTCTTCCATTCTGTCTAAATGATCTAGACAAACAGGACTAGACTGTTCAGGACTATATTGTGGTGAAAACTGGGACTGATTTGATTCCATGTGATCTACGTCATTGATCATGACGCTTGGATCGTCTCTGACGTCACTCAAATCGGGGTTTGGATTGTTTTTATTTGGTAGTGTAGAGTCACGTGATCCACCGGAAGACAACAGTTCTCGTTCTTTGGAGTTCCTCCATTTCATTCGTCGATTTTGAAACCAAATTTTCACCTGAAAATATAAAAAAGGTTATTGATAAATGATGATCAAGTATACAATAATTGAAAGATCAGGACAAGGCTTTATCGTTATTAATCCGGAAAATTACAGTCTAACGAGAACGCCTATTATAAAGAGGACTGATGGAACAATGAGTAGGCTTTGATTTATTTAATGTTAGATAACGGAACATAGTTTTCTTGGAGATAACTTCCCGATATACAAAAATACGACTATATATGATATGTAAAGTAGGCTACACGAGAATAATTATGGATAACATTTCATGAAACGTTTCTATTTGTTTCCCTCCGAGGACGACGATAGAACACGTGGAATTAAACTTGTTTATCTATAAAGCTGTGTTTATACATCAAACTTAATTGTCCAGAGCTTATGTGTTAAAGAGCTACTAACAATTAAGCCGTGAACAGATTAATTGATCGTTGATATATAATGGTAATAATATAAATATGATACTATACAACATGCTATATTATAAATTGTTTCTCGCGCCTACAGTCTGATTCGTGATTCTTATTGTGATAAATACATGTACATATTAATTTTCTATTTGACGAGTTTCCAGTGTTACAATTAATGAAACTAACATTTTATAAAGAGTGAAAATTAATTACAAGTGGTCACAAATCAAAAATTCTGCCTTATCTCTTCTCACCTTTTATATTGAATATTTTAGATATTTTTATGAATATTAATTATATAGATATTATTCGATTTAATCATTTTATCTAATATGGGATAAAAATGTAAATTTCAATATTGCAAAATTTTACATTATTTTTTTTTATGGTAGACTTCTTCAGAAACAATCATATACGCAGTACTCCTAATGGATCGGCCTAAATGACCTAAACACATCACAAGTCATTTTAAAAACATAAATAACTTTGCAAGATTTAAAAAATCAATAATTTCGAGAGGAATAAAATTACTACGTCCTATGATAGGTTTAAAGACTTTACTTTAGTGGTCTTTACGAAACGTAACCGCCAAACCTTCGACCAGTTAAGAGCAAAAGCTTGATTTCTGCTATGATGCATTGCTAAAAGAATGCAGTCTTATAAAGATATCATCTGTGGTTTCTTAATCATTATCTTGCTACGAATCACTGGCCGTCAACTAATGTACATCAAATTTAAAGCTTAACTGAAATTTCAATTTTGTGAACTTTGAGCTACAATGTAGAGACCCATTGATGGTTGATAAGCTAATGGCAAGTCACCTGTCTTGTCCGATATTGTTCATTTGTTTAACAGTAAGGTGCTAAAACTGATCCCTACAACTTTGATTGTACCACTAAACTGTGGTCGTACGTTGCTTTTATCCTAAAACGAGGCACACTCAGCTATAATTGCACACACGAGTAACATGGACATGCGAGTGAAGATAAAAGCATATATTACATGTTTAAATACATAATGATATACAATTATGAATAAATATATTGAATGAATGCTCAGTGATATGGAATCAATCAAACGAATTTAAAAGCGACTTGGATTAGGCGACAGATGGTTCGGATTCGTCAACAAGACAGTGTTTTATTTCAATGGAAATTACTCCATGTTGATAAAATCAAGAATTTCATCAAACTTAAAAAAATATACAAAAGAAATAAAATGAAATTTAAAATACGATGGAAATATTTCAGCAAATATCCTCTGAAAAGATTATGTTCAGAGTTTCGTGAGAGAAAAAAACAGCAGAGGAAATTTGAATTTATATGATCTAACTTACTTAGAACCAATCGCTAGTTGTCATTCAAAATGTCACGTGGGTGTGAAATTCTCACTTTTCACTTAACCATTAAATTTTCACTTAATATAAAATTTAACCAATGCTGATTTGATGAAAAATAGGATTTGGTTTTGAATTTAAAACATGTTGATATTTGGCTTACCTGAGAGTCTTTAAGACCCAGTTTTGAAGCCAGCTTCTTTCTGTCAGGTTTGCTGATATATTTCTGTTTTTGGAACATCTTTTCCAGTCCTTTCCTCTGGGCGTCTGAAAATACTGCTCGACGTAACATCCCTCGTCTTGGCTTCCCTCGCATATTACTCAGGAACGTAAATGCGTTTGGCATCGGTAAAAATGAACCTGAAATCAAAATTAGAAATAGATAAAGAAAGTTCTTTTCTTGTTTCCCTCTTTGTCGGTAATATTGTGTCATTTTATGTTTAGAAATACAACAAATAAAGATATTGTAAGATGTTTTCTATACTCATTATGTGTATTGAGGACACTGATAGCATCAATTTGCACCAATCCAATTTCAGACGTCTGGGGCACTTGCTTTTTCTACGTTTTCTATAAGCCTCTGACGGAAAATTTGAATTATTGAAATAGAAGTCATAATGAAGGTGATACACATAGTTCTCTATGAGAGATCTCTTACAAATCCCCAGAAGAAACGGATACAAAAGTGATACAAATAACAAAGAAAAGAAAGTTTATTAGAAGAATAAATCCAGGTAAATTCTCGCCAATATAAGGTGGTATTATATACTAATAAACTATATTAACACCTACTAAACGTCGGGTTGATAGAGCTTAAAACATATCGTATCATTGTATCGCATTAACATGACAAAATAGTGTTTTCGATGGTTTTCGATGTCGGATTTTATCATGCATTTGACTTTGGAACGCCATTGTGCGCTAAGTTCTACATTTGGAACTAAACTTCACAGGCGCAATGATAAAATTAATAAAATAGAAGATACATTTTGATTTAACGTGTATATGTTAGATGACGAGGTTCCGTGGTTTAATCGTATAAAGTCGATTAGAGCCTCACAAAATAGAAAGTAAAATGTCGGAATGTCGTGCCTGATTGTGTAGAGATTTTAATAATTATCCAAACCATCGAGAAATATAATAAAAGCTGATATTTTCTTCTATTTTTGATTATTTTTTAAATTTAAATATGATAAAGAAAAAAATAATTTCAAATTTAAATTTCACCATTTTTAACTCAGTGCAAACATAATTTCTTAAATATGTTACACAGAAATTGTTTGGTGGGACCGTTCGCTTCCATTTTAAATATCATCAGTTGTATTTTGTGTAAACAAAACGTTTCACTTTTGACCTCGAAACCCGGTCCCAAAACGTGCGCAACATTACACTGCGGATAATTAATAACCAAGCTGTTGCTCGGCCATTATCACACTGTATTCATACGCGATATAATTTCAACATTAGTCTATGAAACACAAAAAATTATAGATGAGCGGAAGATACGCAGTAATAAATGTTAGGGCAACACGTGCCGATTCGCTTTGAGTTTTTGTGGGCAACTCGGGTTTCAGAGCAACCAAACACAATGTAAATCTTATCAATCATAGTAATTGTTAAAAACATACATCGAGTTTTGATATATCTGTGATAATACTATCAATGAGTTTTAGTGCTATAAAGTGTTTAGGTTAGGTTGGTATAGTTCGACTAGGTACATTTACTTAACTTAACTGTATTAATAATCAAATTTCAAAAAAAAGATCGGTCTCCAGTGTTCCCTTTTACCCTTTCTTGGTCCATGCGACAGCAAATTCCTTCCATTTCTGAATCGTTATTAACACTTTTTATATGAACATGTCTATTGGCTTAAGTTCATAATATACTGACACGTATTCTTAAGACAATCCTCATCAGGACCCCCACCCCCCTCCCACCCCCACCCTTTATAATAAGCTGTGTATAAGAAAAAGTGTGTATAAGAGTGTATCATATGAGTCACTTGTTAACCGAACATTTAAATAATTTTACAGTTAATCACCATATTGCAATTCAACAGTTAAAGTACAAAAACCACAACCCTTTTGTGTTCATAAGCAATTTTAAACCGATTTGAATAACTTTCAGGGAGTTAGAGCCATTCATAAAGTCTGAAATCAATTGTGCTCATAGCAGAATCATTATAATAAATTTTAATATGTTAAATTTACAATTAATGAAGTCTAAATAAGAAATAAAGATTATTATACTTTTCTTTCATGACTAGCTAATGGCCCTGAAAACTTTTAGTAATATGCATAATTATGTACTTTAGTCAATTCACCTCCAAATCTACATAATTTTACTTATACAATGACACTGTTAAAATATGTAAATCGACGGTCAGATCCTAAGGTTTCTTTCATGTCTTTAACGAACGTAAAACTCTATTTTGTTTCATTCAATTTCTAAAGGTAATTGACATTTAATTACGTAACTTGGCACATGAGTCATCAAAAGTCATTGAAATTCAAAAATAAAAATTGTGGTTGTGGTTAGTCTATAGCTTACTCTTATATAGGTTAATGTTAAGAAATTATTGTACTACAACTGCAAATGACTCTTTTTTTTCAGTCAGAGTGCCCAGCCAAAACTGCACACGTCACATATGACCTGTAATGATTACTTGGTATAGTTAACTGCTCCTTATTGTTTAAATGTGAAATGATGCACTTTTTTAAAACCGGAAATGACGTAGGGCGTCAAAAGTTCAATGCGTCTTTCCAATTACTGCTCTAATTCTGAATCTATCTTGATCATTTTTTTTTTTTCGATAGATCTTAAAATTTACTCGTAGATAGAAATTTTGATGGCGAACAAAAATCTGTTTTCAAAATTTCGACATCACTTTTGGATTTGGCAACATTCGCCTCTTAACTTTGAATTTCAACTTCCGGAATTTTCAAGATATTTCAATAATTTGACCCGGATGTAACTGGCCTGACACCATTATGATATAAGTAAGATTTTTAAAACTCTTTCCAATGATATGCTTTTCAAAATTTGAAAATTCTTTAACGTATAACAACGAATATCTCATTATCTGATAATTGTAGACGCTTGAAATTTCCAGCATGACTTTACAATGTACACATGATTACGGGCAGAACAAACTCTTTGTGGTGGGCGTGGCACATCCTGGCCTGATTACCTAACGTAATTGAATTTTTTTATAACTCCCAAGGTATGCATTTATCAGGGCGGATACGCACTGTATTGGTACCGGCCCACGGTTCTAGTTAATATTATTTTGATATCTCCATATCGCTCTACAATTGATATATTGGGCACTGTGTCAACAGTGAAATTACTGTAGGTTTATGTTCAAATCGGTATGGCTTATTTGCATAAATACATGTAAATTTGCATATTATTACTAGGTAAGTTAAAATTCAAGAAAAATTACAAAAACCGCATGACATATTTTAAGCAGAAGGTTCAAGTTAGCTATATATATTGGTGAAATATGGCTTAATATCTGATATTGTACAAGACAAAAGCTCTATTAGCACAAACTGTATATTTAAATTTAACCAACAATGTGTAGCCCAAGAATATATCTATCATAACCATTGCTTTCACTTTCAATTTTATTGACCTTACATTACAGTTCAGAATGGGGATTATTTTCCGTGTCACTTCTTAAACAGTAACATATTAGATCATAAATAAACCAACTGGACAGTTAATAACAGTTTTAAGTTTCAGTCAGGACAGTTTATTACCAACTGCGTGTGGTCAGAGAGGTTAATTTAGGTATAGAGAAGGAAGAAAAGGGAGGTAAAGAAGATAAACATTAACAAGATAACGCTGCATGTAATGGGACAACTCTAAATGACAAAATATTCTTAGAAGAATCCTTGTCGTTTCTTACAAATATTTGAAATATTGTTCCTGTCTGGTGATGATGAAAATGAAACCGAACACCTGAATTATATTCCAAAATAAAACTGAGTTGCAAACACTGACAAAACCATAACTATGGTTAATGCTACAAGGAGGAAAAGGGTGGGGGGTTTTGGCACGTGAGCTAGATGGTATGTTCATTGCTGATTCAGAGAGAGTTGCTTCCCTTTCAGTAACGGCTTTTATGTCGCTGCTGTTCAACATATATATGATGGTATCATAACCAATACAACTTACCGGAAAGATAAGGTGGTCGTAACATATTGGTAAAATGAGTATCGTACAGTGTGGGCTGTCTGGTCGTATTACAGGAGTTACACGGTAAACCATGGAGGGTGTAACCACCACACGCTTTGCCACCACAGGAAGTAGAGTAAGTAGGGAGAGTTGGAGATCCGGCTGTATAACTTATACTACCTCCAATCACAGGAGACCCTGAAATTGAAAATTAAATCATGGACTTTATTACATAGCTAGCACTTAATGAACCCAAGACAAACCATCCAAACGACAATGATCTGTTTTTAAAAGAGTTAAGACATTTGGATTAAGACATATAGTTAGTCTAGAAGGAATGACGCACGGAATCGCAAATATTACAAAGATCGTGTAGAATGGTAGAGCTGCAGTGCAGTCTATCACTATTCATTATTACAGACGAACTGTATGTCATATTTTCAGTCTGAAAAATAACATCAATTGTTCGAATTATACCGCACAAAATGCACATTTAAGACAACGATTCTCTTTCAAAGTATATTATTACAATATTACATCATTTTTGTATTCAAAAACTTCTCATTAAACGTCTCAAAATAAGATTATGAATTTTTGATTAAAAAATAAGGTAATTGGTAAGAAACATATGTTATGCTTTTTATACAAAAAATCATTAGATAAATTAGACTTATTACAAATATAGGTGAAAATACATATTGAATTTCAATAAAAAAAATTGATTTATTGTGTCTGATATAACAGGTTGGCTTTTAATCTTGAAAATAACTTTTATTTAGATTTCTAGTAAAAATTGCGACGCATTTTCTTTCCCAATAATATATTGTATATACGCGCGGGAATATGGGTACTAATATTTGATCAAGTTGGTATATACATGTATACTAAAACACACAAGTTTTTATAGCTTGACCTTAAAAATTGAAAATAAACATCTAGGTACTTTATCACCATGCATATCGCTCTTTTTGAAGAAAATAAGTCTGCAAGACATTATGCTTAATGTGAAAAATAAAACTAAAAAGAAAAAGATTTTAATCACAGTTTTGTGAGGGAATAAACAAGGTTTATATCACTCATGCCGATATTCTTACGAATTTCCATGGTGATTCAATTGCTTAGAAATCGAATCAAATTATTCTTTTCATAATTTTATAGAAAACTACTCTCAGCCAAGTGCTTACTTAGAGGATTATCCTCTATGACAACCAAATTTTAACAATGTAACGTAGGTCCAATAACAGTAGTTAAAAGACAGTACCATATAGCATAGCAGTTGTTGAGCATCCTCTCAGCTTGATCATGTAATTAAATCATTCATTATAATGATGAATATCATGATTTGATAAACTCTTAATCATTCAATAACTAAATTATCACTTAATTAATTTTTCAACCAGTTAGAATTTTTGTTTCAATTCATTCTTTTATCGGCCTGGTAATTTTATTATCATTCCATTTTTTTTTTTCATTGCAATATCTAGTTTTATTTATTCAGTTTTATTTGAAATATTAGCATAAATTTATTTACATTTATATTTAGATAATGAATTTGAATTTTATTTCATTTAACTCAAATGTTGATTTGGTTTTTATCTAATTTTTCATCTATTTCTATTCTAATTTATTCAGTAATATGATTGAAAACTTATTCACATTTACATAAAGTCTATCTATATTCATAAATTTTGGAATATCAATATATGAACAAAACATGGGATGTTTCGTGATTCTAATAATCGAATCTTTCTGTTCTGATATAGAAGAGTTGGTTTTAATTAAAAGTGATATTTGAATTGAAATAGACAAAAAAATGTAAAAATGAAATCTACTTATTCAGTTCAAAACAAAGTGAACGTTAATTAAAACGTCGAATCGATTCCATTTCGAATTCCGTAAAAATTAAAAAAATTGAATTCATAAAAATTTCATAGATCTAAAAAGAAATTTAGAATATTATTTTATTCTTACCTGTTGTTGACGAAGATTTTGGCGAATCCTTTCCAAGAATTGCATTCATTCCAAATTTCAGGAATGGCGTAGAACTGGCAGCGGATGTCGGCGGACTATCTCTTTCACTTTGTGCCAAATTTTGTACTTGTCCATGTTGGGGTCTGGCTAAAAACCCTGAAGTCCTTTCTCTCAGTAAGTTTTCCACTAAAAATGACGCGGAGCCAGTGACTGCCGGGCCTTGGTGAAGTATAGGTGCTCGAAATAAACTCTGATATATTGGCGACGGAGCGATGATATTTGGAAACATTCCGAAATAATTATTAACAGTCATGTGTCCAAATATTTTATTTTCAAAATCAAAAGTTTTTTAGCATATCACTTCTTCAAATATTAATTTCCTCAAAATCTTGAAAAAAATTTCAAAATTTCCGCAAGTTTTGATAACGCACGTGAAAGCACTTATTGTATGAAAGCTAATTAAAAATCATAAATGCTGAAATAGTTCCAAGTTGCACGAGCTTCATAGAATATAGATGACAGTTAATGCAGACGATGTTTATATGACTCGGACTGAATATAATACTTCATTTTCATTGGTCAATACCAATCAAATATTGTCCTTTAAGTAGGCAAATGTCTCCAATAATCGGGCGAATCACGGCGCTGATTTGAGTCCCGTACAAAAGATTTCAAGTGATTTCACTATACCGACACGATCTATTCGACTGTAATGGACTAGTTAATGATTTACCCCTTCACAATCAGCCAATCAGAAGCCACGAGCTATTATAATAAGGAGGAATATGAAATAAATTATTAGGCTAATATTATTTTCATGCATATATTATCTACTTGACGGTCTTTCTTTAACTTTTCAATATGAACGATTATAGACTGTTTGAATGACGAATTATTTCAAGTGCTTTTCAATGTAAAAGTGACGGACGTTTATCTACAGGAAAAAATATAATTTTGAATTCAAACTTTTACATATTGATTTAAAAATGTAACTTAGTTTATGTGCTAATGTTTAAAATATTTTCAAATCTAACATGAATGTTAGCAATATATAATTTTTTGGAAGTTTGCGCTGCTTACAATTTTCACCTTTATTTTGTTATAAATAACTTAAGTTAAATTTTGTAATACAATAAATACAAAATTATATAGATTAGAGTTTTTTTATACGCACTTTCAACTAGTTATAACTTTAAGGCGAATTTTGATATTTCGAGTATAAGGAGTTGAATTCTGTATTATAGACTTATATAGTTATATAGATTTATTTTATAAATTCTCTTGTGTGTTGTAACCGTACACAGTTTTTGAATTGAAATTTCGATATTTTGAAAATGTTTCGTTGGGGGTTAGCTATACCTAATTAACTTAATTCTTCCTCTAATAACCCAAATTAAAAAACAATCATTTAATGACATTTTTCTATTTCTTTATAGACATAAATCGTCTAAATATTTCTTTCAACAACTGAGCACAATTTCAGCAATCCATTTTAACTCTGAGAATTGGCGAAAACAATTTTATTCACTATAGATCTGATTGAAATTTTGAAACCTTCGTACTTTTAAAATATATTTGTCCCTTTCCATTCCCGACATCACACCATAGCAATATGGCGAAGAGAAGTTAGATAGCTCGGTCAGTAGTGAGTGAATTGTCGTCAGCAAATCCCTCCTAAATGTATAAAAAAATATTGTTTTCACGGCCAGTGTTCTTTGGTGTCGGCTTTCAACTCCTGTCACCATTCAAAGAGCGGGTGTGCATACATAAGCCAGCGACTTTAACTACAGTTGCTCCTTTTGAACATTACATCTAAAAACTGTCATGAATAAGGTTAAATAGCTCGGTCGGTAGTGAGTTTGAGTGTTGTCTTAGAATAGGTGCCATGGGTTCGAATCTGTAGAAAGATTCTGTTGTCACGGCAAGTGCTTCCGACAGAAGACTCGATAACAACTCCCATCAACGTTCAAAGAGATGGCAACTTTAAATTAGGTTGCTACTTTATAACATCAAATCTAAAATCTGTCATGAACCTAATTTTCCTACCAATTTCAATCGGAGAGCCACGAGGGTATTTTAACTGTGACGGTGTCTGAAGGCAAGTGGAATGGTTATTACATGAAGATTAGCAGCAGAAATAGACTGTCACTTCCAGGCAGCACCGAGAGGCAATTCTCAAATCTCTCTAAATTTATCATAAGAGAAAACATTGTAAACATTGGACACTAGATTAGTTCTAAATGGTCCAACTATAATGACAGGAAATGTCAAGTTATAGCGCCCCCTACTGGTCGTCTTCAATACTTAATCTAGTTGGCGTAATGATATAGACGTCAAGTGGTTGTTTAATAGCTGATTAATCCGCTAGTTAATAGAAAGTAGTCCTGGAGGGCTTGCTGGCATAACAGAACTGTCAACTACAGATTTTTATTGTTCTATTTAACAATCAATTTAATGTAAAGTGTGTACCGTCTCTATCATGCTAGTAACCAGATTCTGTTCATGTATCGGAATTGAATTGGGAATAAAGACTATTTGTGAATGTGACCTTGCTAAAATTGTTAGTTTTTCATTATTGCCAAATATGGACTAGAATAATATTGCTCTTAACATATTAAGCTGCAAAACTAGAAATCCATTGCTTAATCCCATTTTTTTTCTAAATTCAATACTTATTGGTATGACTTTGTATTTGACTCTATATACCATTCTGAAAAAAACTTTGTACAAATAAAAGAAAAGAAATTAATTGTTTTCTGAATCAATGTTATTCGTAACAAAATGTCTTATCTTTTTCTGGGTGTTAAGGACATTATAACTTGTATCACTCAAAATGACACAAAAAGAACCTAAAAACCCCAGGACAAAGTGAATAATCGGTTGAATGTGCAGTGGATTTTGTGCCCATTGCTGGCCATCCTCCTTGAAGCTGTAAAATAAAGTCTCATTTGTACACAGGAAACAACAAACAAAACGTGATTACACCGACATGTAACTATAGCGGTATGAATTCTGTGTCCGTTAGTTTCAGGCAAACCTCCTTACAGCTTATCGATCACTATACAATAAAATGTCATTTGTACAGAAGAACACACACATAAACCCGACGACAAAGTTAACCCCTGATAACACACCTCAATCACCTGTGACCAGGTAATAATCGACGACAAAACTAAATACTAGTAGATGATCAATAGGAGTCCTAATTGCTTTTAATATGATTGATAGTCGATATCAAGAAATACATTCAAGAGATTTAATTTCATTATTACATGATTAGCTATGCGGACTCTCTTAAATAGATACCACGAGCAGGTATAATGATTATATTGTTACAATAAAAGTATCAACTCATATAAGAAACTATGTGGACTCTCTTAAAGGGGTACAGCGAGTGGGTTTGATGGTTATACATGTATTATTAAAATGAAGATATCAAGTAATATTATTAACTATGTGGACTCTCTTAAAGGGATACTGCGAGTGGGATTCATGGTTATATTATTCAAATGAAAATATCAAGTAATATTATTAACTAAGTGGACTCTCTTAAAGGGATACCTGGAATGGGTATCATGGTTATATTATTAAAACGAAAATATCAAGTAATATTATTCACTAAGTGGACTCTCTTAAAGGGATACTGCGAGTGGGTTTCATGGTTATATTTTTAAAATGAAAATATCAAGTAATATTATTAACTATGTGGACTTTCTTGAAGGGATACTGCGAGTGGGTTTCATGGTTATATGAAACAGAAGAAGAACAGAGCCTAGCCACGCCCATGAAAGTTACATTACATATTACATGTACATACATGTCGATTTTTGAAATTGCCAAGATTTTAGAGGGGCGGCGACAACGAGGTGTCGTTCGTTATAAACGCACCAGTATACACAAATTACCTGAGTACACCTATTGAGGCCTTTACATTTTCGCTGCTGTGTATTTGTATTTGAAAGATTTCAAACAGAAAAGTAATACTGACAGAAGAGCTCACGGGCGCCGCTCAAGGACAATGTCCACCTTTTTATGAAAAAATGATGAAATGAATAAACACACGACCGGGATTAATTCTAATTATTGAGTTAATTTCTTGCTTTCATATCTATATATATATTTACTATACAAAAAGATCATATCTCTAATCTTAATTGATTTACAAATTGCAAACGACCATCATTTACGTACACGCTATTTCTGCATTATCAAACTGCAGCAGGTCATTTCAATGTTCAGCATTGGTCAAGCTCAATTACACATGTACATTTATTCTTTACTTATATGTACAAGTTTTCTATTGACCTTTGTATGAATATAGGGGACATTGTTATCGCAATAAACACTTTCACCTGAATGTTATATTATATTAGTGGTGCTATTGATGTCGACCGGAAATTGGAATGGTGTAGTACAGAGAAGGTTTATTCTTGAATCACATCTCTTTTATATGTAGATGTGCAAAAACTCTCTGGGGATGTGCTTATTTCGTTTCATCGTGGGGTGCCAAGTTCAATTTCAATTTTCTTAAAAACGAACAGAAACATCCGACTGAATGGTTAATGCCATACGACACATACAAGAAGTTTAAAAAAAACTCTTTACAATCCTTTTAATACATCTATTTTTTTGTACCTTCAATGCCTTCATATTTGTAGCTGAAGTCATTATTTGCAATTGCGAAAACTTTATTCATTTCCAAAAAAAACGCTTTACAATCCCTTTAATCCCTTTATTTTTTGTAGCTGATACAGAAATCATTCTTTGCAATTGCCAGAACCACATACATTTACAAAGTTTATAAAACTCCTTTATAATCCCTTCAATGCCTTCGCAGTTAACGTGAGACCAAACAATAACACCTGTTCTCACTCTGCAACCTGTTTCCCAATAAACAAACATTCCTCTCTGACTAGAGAGCTAATAAACAGCATATGATTCTATTGGCAGGCAATTATGTTTACTTTATATAAAGTCTATCTGAATTCAATATCTCCAGTTTAATGAATATCGACGTGGTAGATGACAATAACAATGGACAGTATTCAGGTGATTAGGTTTTCAATGATTTGTAATGAACCATATAATGTACCTCAGGGAAAGTTCTTAACGTAAATGCTAATTTTGTGCTGAGCTAGATTGCCTGACATCGTCAATCACATATTTGAATTGTCAACTTTTAACACCTATGTATGTGGAGCCGTGTCATTAAGATCAAAACTGGAATGCTATAGAATTGCCTCCAAAGTTATTCGTTTTGTTTTATCTTATTACATACAGGACCTTGAA